GAACTTATACATAGGAACTCAATAATCTTTTACTGAACAAAAGGATGAACAAATGAAAGGAGCTACCATCGGCATAGTTGTCCTTGACTGCCAGTTGTGCCTTCTCTGATACTTTACTCTTAACCTTTTTCTCAAACTGTCCTTTATATTGAATTCAGATTCAGCCTCAGCTCTCCAAATCTCATGGATCCTGCTGTGACACAGCTGAGTTAAAACAGCAGGTGCTTATGGAATGCCACTGTAGACAGGGCACAGAGGGGATATAATTTAAGGTGCAGATACTGACTTTAAAGTAATTTCATTATTATTATCTTCTTAAGACTCAAACATATAAGATGTTGTTATATTAAAAATGCTAAGTTAACAGTTGCAGACAAACATGGTTGTTACAAGGAGGTACATGACTAAGCAACAAGAAATAGGAGAGGCAATAAGTTTTGAGAAGAGGGTGGGGTCACTTCAGGCACAGATCGCCAACAAAGGATTTCAAAAGAATATATAATTTTTGAAAATTTGTTTTGAATTGTGGTAAAAAAACAATAGAAAAACTGCTATCTTAATCCTTTTTAGGTATGCAGTCAGCAATGTTAAGTATATTCACAGTGTCGTGCAACAGATCTCTAGGACTATTTTGTGTTGCAAAACAGAAACTCTACCTAATAAAACAATAGCTCCCCATTTCTCCCTCCTCCAAGCCCCTGGTAAACACCATCATACTTTCTGTTTCTATGAATTTGACTACTTTAGATCCCTCTTATAAGTGGGATAGTACAGCATGTCTTTTTTAAGAAGAGTGTAGACTTTGAGCTATGTTTTTAGGTAGAGATGAATGGGTCTGCAAAGGTAAGTGGATTACTTTAGCGAAAGGATATATTTTCTCAGCATATACCAAGATAGGCAGAAGCCCAGGCATCATGCTCATTTATTTTCTCAGGGCTATTTTCTCTTAAGTTATGGGTATTTTGGCTGCTGTTCACTGTATATGTCTATATCTGACTTTACCTACAGTTTTCCACTCAGGGAGGATCTTTACTCATCAGTTATATAAGACTCTTAAAGACCTGACATTTCTCACCAGGACCTTCATGATCCCTTTTAATAGTCCAGTGTCATTATTTTCTCCCCTTTCCCCCTTTAGCAGCACAGGAGAGCTTGCAGGTTTTGGAACAAGCAGGTTCTCTCTTACATCTAGATTTACGTACATCCTGCTCTTTCTGCCTGGAAAACTCCTCACTGCCTCTTTTCGATGGCCCCTCTCACCCTAATTTGTTCTTTAGAACTCTGCCTGGGTGTTTTCTCCTGGAAGTTGTTCTAAATACTTCATGACAAGTGGTTGTCCCTGCCCTCTGTCCAATAACCTCATGCTTCTTCCAATAGTAGCTTTTGTCACTGTGCATAAAAATAGCTCTATTGCCAGTCTGTCTTCCAAATATAGTGAGTGGTTTTAAGGGCAGGAACTATCTCTTACTAATTATTTTAAGTCTAGCACATAATACAGTGCCTAGCTCAGAGGAATCCCTCAGTAGATAGTTGCTGAGTGAATGAATGAATAAATGAATGAATTATGAACATCAAATTTTTCTTAGGGGTGGCTGAGTGAAGCTTTATTTCTATTGTGTTCCGTAAACCTTGTTCCTACCCTCTTGATATCTCAGTTGGGAGGAGCCATGCTCTCTTGTCCTAACTCAACAGAATGGGTAGATTACTGTGTCTTCTTCCACCTGGGAAGCCATAAGTATAGCATTTGTCTCTCAATAGTATTAATCATCCAGAAAAGCAGGATTTCCTAGAAAATAAGGTTTGGAAGCTGGCTGTAATCCTAGAGGTATATAAAGCGAGTGTCTGTGTTGACCCTGAAGTCAGACTGATAAGGGTTAAGAAAATATGTCCTACAAGAATTCAGCAGTATGGGAAAGAGATTAGAGGTAATATGCCAAGTACAATGTCATTATCTGGCAGGTCCTAGTCAAATGGTAGTTGCAGCTGTAGAGTTCTGTCATAATCCTTTGATAGCCACATTAGGGAGCCCCAGTATCCAGTACTGATCACAAAACAAAGAAGCTGTCTTGAGTCAATTTAATGACAATTATAATAGCAGCAACTTCAGATGGGGATTGTCTGCACTGCTGGATTTCCCATCCTTAGAAGGAAGGAGGTAAACATACAGGGCTCTAAAGTTCCTATAAGCACATGTTTGCTTGGAAAAAAAAGCATGTGAATCCATGCACACATCCTCCTGCCCCGAGAATTTCTCTATTTAATTGGTTTTTCCTTAATTTAACATTGTTTGAGAGTACATGGGATATGAAAGACTGATTGCTAAGTCAGATAATATTTTCCTTCAACAAAATAGCACTGGGATATGTGCTGTTGTTACTTCCAACTTCTCCCTCTTGATATTGAAATTTACCCAGAAGGTCATCGGCTGACAGAAGGGCTAACTGCTTTGAAAGCATTACAGGTGTTTTCCATGGCTGCCAATTTCCCTAATGTCTTGGGTGTTACAAACTGATGTTCCTCTGCCAGCACATTTAGTTTACAAGATGATCCTTGCATAAAACACTGCCAGTTACATTTTTGAGAACATATGCAAAATTAAACCACTGACCCAGTAGTCAAATAAAACTTCCCATAAATTACTGAGCTTGTTCTTTTCTTAGAGCAAATAAGCCCTTTGTCCCTTAATTATCCGAATAAATAGTCTTGCAGCAAATATGAGTTTTATAGATCCAGAAGGGGATGGAAGCAACAGAACTGTGACCTCCTATTGAGATCAAAGGCACCCCCTCTGTTAATTGAACACAAGTTAGGGCTGTCATGCCTAACAGGTTCTCCTAACAGGCCTGACATCCATGGCAGCACCTTGGGACATTACTTGGTAAATCAGAACCTCAGATAAATTGGACATAAGGTCTCACAATAACTTGGACTTCACCCAGGCAGGCCTCAGGTAGAACCTGCTCCATATGGTGATTTCTGTTAAGCAGATAAAATGCCTTATTTGGCACCAACAGGAGTCTCTGTACTTCTTTTTGGGAGCACAAATAAAGAGCACACATGCCAGTCACCCCTCTACTGCTTATGATAATGTGGTGAAGAGAAAATGGGAATATAAAATGCATAGAATATATTTAATAGACTATCCCGTCCACCAACCAGATATTTCACAGAACTTCTAACTTCTGACATAATCTTAGGATTTTACCATTCCAGTCATTTTGGGAGCCTTTCTGTGTTTGTTATTATCATCATCATTATCATCATCATCATCATTATCAGTCATCTGATGAGCTACCTGTGAGGCACTATGTTGGGAGCCTTGGAGGGTCCCCAGAAACAAGTAGTAATAGTCTTTGCTGAGGGTGACATGCCCACATTGTGATGGGCAGAGCTGACTGGGGCGTCCTTCAGAGAGGCAGTGAGGAAAGGAGCTCGTTGGCCCCTTGAACTCAGATAATTTGAGATTTTGTAACGTATCTCCAGGAATCCTATTTATATAGGACAAGCAAATTTCTTTGGAGAACTGAGTAGAGAAGAAAGGGCCTTGGCCCTGGTGAGTCAGAGTCCCAAGTCCTTGATTATTTCTGAGACTGGTGAATGAAAAACAAAGTGAAAAAATATTTATAGTGTAAGGCAATATATCATGTGTATGTAGGTGTGCCCACGTGTGGCACCTGGTAGGAAGTTACATTCTGGCATTTGCCATCTGGCATCTGAAAGTCTATGCCAGGTGGTTAAGGAATGGCCTATTGCAAACTGTGCTTTGATTGAGTCACTATCAAGATGTCCCAGGCCCTTCTTTTCCTGTCTTGGATTTTCCTGAACATTTTCTATAGTTCTCTCTGGAAGCTAGAGACATTCAGTTGCCTTTTACTGCAGAGAACTCATATGCTCAGGTACAGTGGAAGAGCTTTTTCCAGCTTTTCTCCCCTAGACCTAATTCTAGCAACTTCCTCATTTGTTTTCATTCTTTCTATCTCAGCACTAATAATACTGTTGCACTTAAGAGTTTAAACTCCTCTCTACCAGATTAGAAGCTTACTGAGGACAGGAGCTACATCATCTTTTTCACTTGTGTATACCCAGTGCCGAGTACAATGCCTGGCACAGGGGAGCCCCCCATTCAATATTCGGAATGAGAATTTAGAAAGCTGTCCCATATTATGTGAAAGGATGTGCCTAAGCTCCACCCACCCTGTTTCTACATTATTTCTACATTATGACATGCAATTAAATATCAGCATAAACTGAGGGGACAAGGAAT